TTTTTAAAAATTTTTTGAGATAGGCTTATTTTATTAGGTTTCCCTCCCTGCCCCCCACCCCCTGGCCAAACTACATACGCACTCTTAATATTTCAGTGGGATCCCATTGAAATTGTAGGTTTATTTTAGGGGCATATTGAAATTTTTATAATATCAAGGTCCCTAAGAACATGATGGTGTTTTACATTTTCCTAAATTTTGTATTTATATTTATTAGAGCTTCAGACATTTTTGTAAATAGCTTCTGTGCATGTTTTTGTTGTTGAGGACACTTGTAGGATTTATTTTTTGGTTGTTGCTGTAAGTAGAATTTTTTTGTATAAAATTTTTATTTTACAGCTGCCTGTTGTTTACATGTAGAAAGCTAATGGATTGTTAGTTAACTTGCTGCCTAAGTGGATCTTTGACTAGAACCTTTTTTAAAAAAATTGTTTTATACTAGATTGCTTTCGAAAGCAATTAGTTCTTCAGATAGTGCGTTTTTACTGCTCAAGGATTCCTTCTACTCCTTCCATCCCTACCTTCATTTTACACTTAATTTATGGCAGTTTTTTGTTTGTTTTTGAGATGGAGTTTTGTTCTTGTTGCCCAGGCTGGAGTTCAGTGACACTATCTTGACTCACTGCAACCTCTGCCTCCAGGTTCAAGCGATTCTCCTGCCTCAGCCTCCCAAGTAGCTGGGATTACAGTCATGCGCCACCACACCCGGCTAATTTTGTATTTTTAGTAGAGACGAAGTGTCTCCATGTTGGTCAGGCTGGTCTCTAACTCCTGACCTCAGGTGATCTGCCCGCTTCGGCCCCCCAGAGTGCTGGGATTACAGGTGTGAGCCACCGCACGCCTCGCCTGATTTATGGCATTTCTGGTTTTTTATTACATGTTGCCTATTTGTTGTTTTGTCAGAGTTATGTGGGCATTTTAAGATTTTTTTTCCGCTTATCCATAGCAAGCTGTGAACGTTTTAAAGATTTTGAATACACTTCAGATGTGTTATATTGCCTAGTTATTCATGATTATCTTAAATTATAGTTAAGAGTTTCAAATGTAAACGTTGTTGGACTTTGTGAGTGAACAAGACAAGTGACCTTTTAATAAGCATGCTTTGAAATCTTCCGTGTCTGCATATGTATGGAAGGAAGAAAAAGAAATGTCAAAGGCTTTCTTCTGAGAAATACAGGGCCTGAGTCAGGTGGGTGTGAATAGGAAGAGAGACAGTCAAACACCCCAAGGATTGGGGATTGAGGACAGAAATTATGGAGACTTAAAGGCATAAAGCCCCCTGCCATGTGCAGACACATGTGGCTGTTACTGGTGTCTCCTATCAGATTTTGGCAAAGACCCAGCCCTGTCAATTTGGGTCTCTTGAGCAGGCGGGGAGACCTAGCATCATTCTGGTGACTTGGGGAGTACAAAAATACGTTTAAAAGTATTGACTGTGTCCTATCAGGTGGACTAAATTTTAGAGAAATCTGGCCATTAGAAACACGTTTGTCTAGAATTTAGGACTTGGGGATTAGATTTTATGGAATAGGATGTTAGAAATTGTTCACTGCAGTTCAAATAAATTTTAAGGACTAGGCGTCAGGCCTTAATCTAGTAAATCTTATGGCAGAATGATACTAGCAATGAGTAAATGCGCAAGGGCCGGGGTGTGGTGGCTTACGCCTGTAATCCCAGCACTTTGGGAAGCCAAGGTGGACGGATCATGAGGTCCGGAGATGGTGACCATCTTGGCCAACATGGTGAAACGCAGTCTCTGCTAAAAATACAAAAATTAGCTGGGTGTGGTGGCGTGTGCCTGTAATCCCAGCTACTCGGGAGGCTGAGGCAGGATAATCACTTGAACCAGGGAGTTGGAGGTTACAGTAACCAGAAATTGTGCTACTGCACTCCAGCCTGGTGACAGAGTGAGACTCCATCTCAGAAAAAAAAAAAAAAGTTGTGCAGAGCTGTGTTTTAAAGTTTGTGAAAAATGTGCACTCAAAGTTGATACTGATGTTTATGGTGGAAGTGTTTGTGGGAAAGGTAGAAGTGATTTTTAGATAGAAAATAAGGTTCTTATTACAAAGCAGAGTGAGAAAGATTATTACAAAGGTGAGAAAGGAGAGTGAAATTTTCTAGTGATTTAGACTTCTGATTTGAACTAATCCACTATGAATTATACAGAAACTAGAAAGATTAATTTGTGAGACTTTTCAAAGTTTGTGAGAGTTTGTTGAAGGACTAGAACATGTTAGTGGAAGTTGAAAATATGGCTGTCTTCTGATGGGAGAGATACTTTACTAATATTCATAAACATGGAAATTCTCGGTTTCTGAAATTTGTTAAAAAATGGCACGGGTATAATACAGTTATATTTGCTGGTAATATAACTGTGAATGCGCGGACCAAAGTGATTGTTGAAAGTGAATGTGGGCCAGGTGTGGTGGCTCATGCCTATAATCCCAGCACTTTGGGAGGCCGAGGTGAGTGGATCACCTGAGGTCAGGAGTTCGAGACCAACCTGGCCCACATGGCAAAACTCTGTCTCTACTAAAAATACAAAAAAATTAGCCAGGTGGTGGTGTAGTCCCAGCTACTGGGGAGGCTGACGCAGGAGGATCGCTTGAGCCAGGGAGGTGGAGGTTGCCTTGAGCCAAGATTGCACCACTGCACTCCAGCTTGGGCAGCAGAGTGAGACTCTGCATCAAAAAAACCAAAAAAACAAAAAGTGAATGTGCCCTACTAGAAACTATCTAGAAAGTCATCATTAGCATGGTCAGATAATCAAAGCCTGAATTAGAGTGGCAACTCTTAATATTTAAATTTAGGGAGGATTAATTAATAAATATCTCCAGAATTGCAAGGCAGGAGCTACTATAGCAGTCTTTTTTTTTCCCCCCCCTTCTTTGAGATGGAGTTTTGCTCTTGTCCCCCAGGCTGGAGTGCAGTGGTGTAGCCTCGGCTCACTGCAACCTCTGTCTCCTGGGTTCAAGCAATTCTCCTGCCTCGGCCTCCTGAGTAGCTGGGATTAAAGGTGTCTGCTATCACATCTGGCTAATTTTTGTATTTTTAGAAGAGATGGGGTTTCACCATGTCGGCTAGGCTGGTCTCAAACTCCTGACCTCAGGTGATCTGCCTGCTCCGGCCTCCCAAAGTGCTGGCATTACAGGCGTGAGTCACTACACTTGGCCTACCATAGCAATCTTCAAGAGAAGGGTATCCTTGGTTTTAGGCCTCAGTGAGGATGTTTGCATAGAAATGTCCAATAGCACACAAATAAATGAAACAACAGGCAGTTGGAGCTGGAGAAGAGGAGTGAACCATTCCCAGTGCCAGTTAATATTTTATAGTCTTAATTTGCTTAGAAAAATGTCTGACACAGAGTACGCCCTTAAATATTTTTTTTTTGTTTTTCTTTTTTTTTGTTTTTTTGTTTTGAGATAAGCCTGTAATCTGTCACCCAGGCTGGAGTGCAGCAGCCTGGTCATGGCACAGCATCATGATCATGGCTCACTGCAACCTCTGCCTCCCAGGGTCAAGTGATCCTCCCACCTCAGCCTTCCAAGTAGCTGGGACCACACACGCCACCAGGCCCGCCTAAGTGTTTTGTAGTTTTGGTAGAGATGGGATTTCACTCTTGCCTAGGATGGTCTCAAACTCCTGAGCTCAAGCTGTCTGCCTTTCTTGGTCTTCCAAAGTGCTGGGCTCCCAGGCTTGCTTTGTTTTTTATTACTGTTACCCCTCTTCCATCTACTTTGTAAGTTTCAAAAACAAAAACAAAAAAGAACAAAACATTTTTTTTTGTTGTTATAAGTTTGCCTTTTCCCTTTATTCTCTTTGTTTTGGGTTTATTCCTTCAAATCTCTTTAGTGTTACTTAATGGACTTTTGGGAAGGAGTGAGATAAACAGATGTGTTTGTTTTTGCCTTGCTTTGACGAGGTATTATACATGTGTTTATATAGCTAGTTTGCTGTGGACATTATGGAGTCGTGTGATAAAGATGTTTTAGGAAAGTATTTCCTACGTACCCCATGGTTGAAAGTATGTATAAACATTTCACTAACATTCAGTAATTTGCGGTTCTGATTCATAGTAATATAAAGTCATTTAATGTTCATTGTAATTATATAAGTGCCAAGGACTGCTTGCCTGTGGTTACAGAGTGGTGGAATCAGGATTTCAGCAACAGTAATTCTACACCCAAGTCCTTTGCTCTTTCTTATGTCAGATCTTATGGTTTCTTCCAACTGTATTAATCAAAGGAAGATAAGGCTAATTGTAATATTAATTTTAAGCCTGAAAAATGACCACCAGTTGTTATTGAGAATCTGTATTCATTCCAACATAGTTGTGAACAATGTACTCACTATAGTCCAATTTTAAGGGAAGGGAAAGAGAAGTATGTAGAAAAAATAAGATTAAGTTAATGGCAAAGGTAGTATTCAAAATGTAGTCATGCATTTTACTGAAGGTGGACTATAATATTGATAACATTTATAACAAAATTGAGTTCTTACTTTGTGCCAGGTACTGTGCTAAACATTACTTCATTTAGTTCTCATAATTTTTCATTAGGTGGATGATACTGTGATTAATTTCATTAGTTCAAAACTGTATTCAAGAATATACAAGTGATAGAGTTTGGGTATGAGTCCTGGCAACCAGTACTCTAGAGCTTGAACTCTTTGTCACAGTAGTAAATACTGAACCTTTAGTCACAATACTAAATAACTGCCTTGCTGAACTAATACCTGAGATGTTCCAGGGATGTACATTTACTTTTGCTAATTCCCGGGTAGATGACACCAGGTGAAAAATGAGGTTCAGAGAGATTAAGTAACTTAAAAGATCATGTATCTCGTAAATGGTAGAGATGGAAATCAAACTCACATCTGCCTAATTCCAAACCTGTGTTCTTTCAGTACTCCCTATTATCTTTGTATCTCTAAGACAGCCTTTTAGAGTTATGAAGTGCTTTAATATTGATATGCTTTTATAATGTTTTTGTGTCTTGCAGGGATTTATCAAAGATGTTCATGAAGACTCCCTTACAGTTGTTTTTGAAAATAAGTAAGTTATTTTTGTTGACGAAGGCCATCATATTAGAGGTGGCAGTGCCAAACTGTTTGCTTCTAGGGGGTGGGGAGGTTTGGTTGTTTGATCGTAAGTCTATCTTTGATAACTGTTTATCTGTTTTTCTGTCCATAATTGTCACTTTTTTCATAACGCTCTTCTTTGCCAAAACATGTTTAGATATGAATCAGTTTTGCAGAAATAGATGGCACAAATTAGATGATAATATGCTTAATACTTAAAAAGCCCAGAATTTTCAAATGATGTTGTAGAAGGTCTTCCAGTTGACTGCTGGTCATCAGAATAAGTATTAAGCCATCTTTAATTGCCTGAGGGGTATGTAGTCTAAAAATGGGAAAGACAGCATACTGGGCTTGGTTAGGAAGGGCTATAAAAGAGCACTGGGCTGGGTGTGGTGGCTCATGCCTGTAATCCCAGCACTTTGGGAGGCCAAGGTGGGCAGATCACCTGAGTTCGGGAGTTTGAGACAGCCTGGCTAGCATGGTGAAACCTCGTCTCTACTAAAAAATACAAAAAAATTAGCTGGGCATGGTGGCGGGTGCTTGTAATTCCAGCTACTTAGGAGGCTGAGGCAGTAGAATTGCTTGAACCTGGGAGGTGGAGGTTGCAGTGAGCGAGCCGAGACTGCGCCGTTGCACTCCAGCCTGGGTGACAAGAGGGAAGCTCTGTCTCCAAGAGCACTGTTTAATTGATGGTCAGAAAAAAACTGTTCAGCTTCCACTTTTAAGCTGTTTCTGGAATTGCCTGAAAAGATCATTGCCTAACAGCTGCTTCATGTAGAAACAAGTGTTGAGATGATTTCTATCTTTGAGCAGCTGCCATTTGGACAGTAATGGTTAAAAGAAAGCATCCCCAAATCTTTTACTTGTCAGCTGCTACTTTGCCCAGCCTAGGCAGATGGAAACTTGAGGGACATTTTATCTCGTAGTATACTTCCCAGACATAAATGACCTATGAGAAATTAGAGTAGGGAATAATTTTTTACTTTATAATTTCAGCTTTTAAAATACAACATAAAAAATGTCAGTTACTAAATTGGTTTAATACATTAATATTTGCTACAGAGTTAAAAATAAGCTTTTTCTAGGTTCTAATTATAATGTATGTATCCACTGTAGAAAAGATAAATGGAATGGGAAAATGAAATCTTTTGTAATTCAGCTGTTCAAAATAATTGCTGATAATTTTCTGTATTTCTGTGAACATGTATACTAAAAAGAGTTAAACAGTTTATATTGTTTTCTAATCTATGAAATTGTGTTTCCTTTATTGATAGGTCATGTAGTTGTGAAACTGTTTGAAATAAGTTGGTATCACTACTATTTATTGGGCACTATGTCGATTCAACATTTTGAATCAAAGTTAGTCATCACTGTGAACTTAGCTTATTTCATTTGCAGAATAATGTATGTACTGCTCTTACGATGAGTAATTTGGGAGAATGTGTGTACTGCTCTTAGGATAAGTAATTTGGGAGGTAGTGTACAATTGTTAACAATTTTGTTAATTATGAACTTCATTAAGAGTCATACAAAATCTGTTCTACTTTAGTAACTAATTACTTGGGAAATTATTAATAGTATGAATGTTGTTTTTCTTCTCTTTAGGGAAAGCCTAAATGATAAACTAACTTGAAAAAATATGCAACACCAGGTGTAGACTGTATATTTTTAAATTGTTAATACACCTTTTCTAATCCTTCAGTTGGCAACCAGAACGCCAGGTACCATTTAATGAAGTCAGATTACCACCACCACCTGATATAAAAAAAGAAATTAGTGAAGGAGATGAAGTAGAGGTATGTTTTTTTAAGTTTATTTTCTTGTGGTGTCTATTTTTTGATTTAAATAAATACTCTTTTAGGAAAATTAGCTTAGTTGATGGAGGATAAATCTGATTCCTTTTCTCTATTCTTTCTATTGGTGGTAATGGCCGTGTAATATAGCAGTGCTTGAGTTTTGGAGCTAGAATCGGTCTCACCTGTCCCATTTTTAGCTGTGTAGACTTTAAATTTATCATTATAATTTGGAAGTCATGGATGATAGGGTATTTGCATTTTTAAAAGAACCTGGCATAGAACTCTGTGCACTATGGTGTTACCTTTTTCCTTCTTTTTGCTAATTACTTTGAATAATTTGTCTTACGACTTGCCTGGGTGTCTTTATGAGGTGTTGATAGTTATTCTTTTACTATAGTGATCATTAACAGAGTTAATATATAACTGTAAAATATTGTAACTAGCTTTCTGCCTTCTAGAATATTCTAGAAATGTCTGAGGAAAAATTTAAAAGTACAGAAAAGCAAAAAAAAAAAAAAAAAAATGGAGGGAAAGAAAAATCACAGCTCACAGATGAATAAAACACTGTTCATATTGTGCATGTTCTTTCAGGCTTGTCTCAGCATCCCAAAATGATGAGATTACAGGTGTGAGCCACCGCCCCCAGCCCTGCAAACATTTTATTTTATTTATTTTTTTGAGATGGAGTTTCCCTATTGTCTTCCAGGCTGCAGCGCAATGTCGCGATCTTGGCTCACTGCAACCTCTGCCTGCCAGGTTCAAGCAATTCATCTGCCTCAGCCTCTTGAATAGCTGGAACTACAGGCGTGCATCACCATGCCTGGCTAAGTTTTGTATTGTTAGTAGACACGGGGCTTCACAATGTTGGCCAGACTGGTTCTCGAACTCCTGACCTCAGGTGATCTGCCCGCTTTGTCCCCCCAAAGTGCTGAGATTACAGGTGTTAGGTACCGTGCCTAGCCATTTACAAACATTTTAAATGTACATATTCTGTACTAAGCACTTTGCAAGTGATTTAGTTATCTGCCAGTTTTATTTTATTGTTTGAGATGGAGTCTTGCTCTGTCGCCCAAGCCGGAGTTCAATGGAGCGATCTCAGCTCACTCCAACCTCCGCTTCCCACGTTCAAGTGATTTTTCTGCCTCAGTCTTCTGAGTATCTGGGATTACAGGTACCCACCACCATGCCCAGCTAATTTTTTTTACTTGTAGCAGAGACAGAGTTTCACCTTGTTGGCTAGGCTGGTCTTGAACTCCTGACCTCGGGTGATCACCCACCTCGGCCTCCCAAAGTTCTGGGATTACATGTGTGAGCCCCACCACACATGGCCTGATTTTTTTAATGATAAATTTTCTTTGAGCTCTCATTAATATAGATAATAAGCTAGGAAGTCAAAAATTGCAGCACTTCAATCCCTGACAACCTTAACTTAGCGTACCCACTTTGGTGGAAGTCAGAGATAAAAGAGTGAGTAAAGTGAGTGCTTTACTTATTCATGAGGGACTTGGCTCATGGCACCCTGACATAATTTATACTTTGCTTTAGTAAAAGCAAAATAGTACACAGTGAACTTAGTGCAAATAATTAAAATCCAGGCAGAATGGCAATAAGTTAAGAAATAACTTTTTGTAAGGATACCTGTAACTATCTGTGTGTATTAGAGTTCTTGAGGAAAATGTTACTGGTGGAATCCGGGGGAGACACGAGGAAACAAAGTGGTGAAATGACTGCTGCAAATCAAGAAGTGTAAAGTGGGGTCCTTGGTGGGTGCTATATATGGCGGTGATGCTGCAGATTACTATGTTCATTTGGACTTTAGATTTTATTGAAAAAAGTTTTCTCGATGTTGTATCTTTTTCTAATAGTTTTCTGTGAGAATAAAGAGGCTTGATTCGTTTTCATTTTTCGAAATTTCTGGTATAGTGTTTTTTGGATTTTGAGTAAGCAAAAGTTAGGTCAAGAAAGGAATGATGTAGGTTTGGACATGTTCTAGAATTAGAAATGTGTGGCAGTCAGTTTTGAGAGTAATGCTTCTTATACTTTTTTGTTATTTAGACACTTAAAATTGGTAGCGTGGAGTCTCAGATTAAAGGGAAAACTGTTCTTGGTGGGGTGCTGAGGGTGTTGTTACAGTGTACTTTTTCCATTCCTGTCCAGGAGGGTCCTGCCCTGTTCCTGAACAGTGTCTGGCTCACCCCTGTGGTCTGCCTCCGCCTTTGTGAAGAAGACGTTGATGGAGAGATTGAGTGATTTAGAAATTGAATCTAGTTTTTTTTCTTTTTAAATTTCACATTATGTTTTATGATTCAGCTCTGGTCATATTTGCTCTCTAAAATTTTGTAAGTCATCTGAAATTAAGATGTGATTTTTTTTTTCACTTTTGAAAAATTTGAAAATTCATATAAGGAAAAAGGAAAATTCATATAAGGAAAAAATCTTGCCACCCATAGGATTTTGTTTTTTTGTCACCGTTTATTAAGGATTTATCCATATTACCTAGAGTGTTTAGAAACTCTGAGTTAGTGCTTTCCCAGGTAATGTTTTGAAAGCCTCCTCCCCTCCTTTAAATTTAAAGTAAAAAAACTTAATGTAAAAAATGAAATGATAAAAAATTATATAAAGTACCAAGTGAACCTTCCATCTTAATGTAGGTGTACTTGTCCACCCACCGTAACTTAAATCTTATTTACCAGCGTTGATTCTCTTGTGAGTTTTTTTGTTTGCATGTATAAAGGACATATTTAAGTTGAAAAAAAATTGGGATTAAGTTATGTATTTTTGACTTTTGTATTCACTTAATTAGGACAGCAAACATTTTCTTGTCTTCTCATTTAAATTTACCTCATTTTTTGTAACCACCTCAAAATTATTTGGTGTGGATATATCAAATTAAAAAACATTGAAATTACCAAATGTTTTGCTGTTAGCTAAAGAAAACAATGCGAGAATTGAAGTTAATATTCTTATGCAAATCTGGTAGTATTATAGTTCCTATGAGGTTAAATTGCAGAATCAAAAGGCATGATATATACATTTTTGAAAGTATTAAAATGTACTGTTTCATCCTCCAAAAATGTCTTTGGAATTACCACTTTAGAATTTTATTAACCCTGGAGGTATCTTTTTCATACATTGAGTGACTGTATTATATTGTTCGTATGTATAGTTTTGTAAACTTGGTGGATGGAAGCTGATGTCTCCTGAATTCTCATTTCCTTAATCGTAATATGGGAACATCACTTAAATTAGTTTATTGGCTCTTAACCCCTTGTTCTGTGAATTGTCTATTTTTTTGTTTGTGTAGTTGTTGGGGTAGGAAATCCTTGCATTTTGTGGCTGAGTTTTATCTTTATTTTTATTTTTGAGACAGAGTTTTGCTTTTCTTGCCCAGGCTGGAGTGCAATGGCGCGATCTCGGCTCACCACAACCTCTGCCTGCTGGGTTCAAGCGATTCTCCTGCCTCAGCCTCCCTAGTAGCTAGGATTACAGGCATGCGCCATCACACTTGGCTGATTTTGTATTTTCGGTAGCGATGGGATTTTTCCATGTTGGTCAGGCTGATCTCGAACTCTCTACCTCAGGTGATCCTCCCGCCTTGGCCTCCCAAAGTGCTGGGATTACAGGTGTGAGCCACCGTGCCTGGATCTGAGTTTTTTATCTTTTTATGTTTTTTTTTCCTCAGGCAATTTTATTTTTTATTTTCTGAGATGGAGTCTCACTAAGTTGCTCAGATTGTGCAGTGGCACAATCTCGGTTCACTGCAACCTCCACCTCCCGAGTTTAAGTGATTCTCGTGCCTCGGTCCCTGAGTAGCTGGAATTAACAGGTGCACGCCACCATGCCCAGCTAATTTTTTTTATTTTTAGTAGAGATGGAGTTTTGTGATGTTGGCCAGGCTGGTCTCGAACTTCTGGCCTCAAGTGAACACCTGCTTTGGTCTCCCAAAGTGCTGACATAATAGGCGTGAGACACTGCGCAGGCTTACTTTTACATTTTTGAATTATGTTTTTTTACATCTGCTTCCCTGCATTATTTTTCCCTTATATGGGGGGTGTGGGGATGGGGAATCCTTTTAGATTACTTCATATCTGATCGCCTTAGTTATGAAATGTAATTTTTTGGTCAATAAACACTTTTTCTTAAACTTTTTCTGGGATTGTGCAAAATAGCAGAGGTAAGCCTGACATCTAAGCTGATAACCGGTTTTTTTTTTTTTTTTTTTTTTTTTTTTGTGAGGGTGAGATGGAGTTTCACTATTGTTGTCCAGGCTGTAGTGCAATGGCACCATCTCGGCTCAGCGCAACCTCCGCCTCCTGGGTTCAAGTGGTTCTCCTGCCTCAGCCTCCTAAGTAGCTGGGATTACAGGCATGTGCCACCACACCTGGCTAATTTTGTATTTTTAGTAGAGACAGGTATTCTCCATGTTGGTCAGGCTGGTCTCTAACTCCTGACCTCAGGTGATCTACCTGCCTCAGCCTCCCAAAGTGCTGGGATTACAGGCTCGAGCCACCACGCCCAGCCCCGATAACGTTTTTTATAAGGTTTCTTCCTTGCATTTAGCATATTTGAAATTTTAAAAACCTGTTTTTGAACTGTGAGGTTTTCTGGTTTAGTATTCATTGTTAAAATAGGAATTGGCAAGTTTTTGTTCTTGTGGCATATGCCTTTCCTTTTCTAGTCATATGGCGGATTGTCAGGCATTATGGTTATGTATCTATATATTATATTAAAATGTTGGGATAGGCGCCTTGAGAGAAATTGGATTAAAAAGGAGAATAAAAATTATCTGAGGTAAGACACTCATTTACAACTTTTTAGGGTTTTTTTTTTTTTTTTTTCCAAATTTTATTTTTTTGAGACAGCATCTTACTCTGTCACCCAGGCTGGAGTACAGTGGTGCCATCATGGCTCACTACAGCCTTGACCTCCTGGGCTCAAGGGATCTTCCGTGCCTCAGCTTCTCAAGTAGCTGGGATCATAGGTATGTGCCACCATGCTGG